TGGTTCATCATCTATCAACTCCATTTGTCTATTCGATAATGCACTATATATATAATTCATTGCTTTTAGATCAGTTTCCTCCCACGTGGCTTGGTTGTCAGTATCCACTCTCTCTCTCTCTTTGAATGACTTTCTCACAATTTTTCATTCCCAGAAAAATCGTAATTCTTTTCTTCCACGTGCTGTAGTCGTTGCCATCGAAAATGGGTAAAGTCATTTTAAATTCGTTAGCCAGTTCAACTCGTTCTTCCTTAAACATTTTTATCACTTTGTTCAACAGTATCAATTTTCGTACAAACTTCACGAAACTTCCTTTACTACCTTCGCTTGTATCTTCCTGCTTCAAGCCTTTTGAATTTTCATCGCCACGTGCTCCCATAACCTCAATTAACCTTCTAGAGTTTTCTCAGCAACCACACTCTGCTACCATGTTGAAATAAGAGGTGGATTTAGATTCAAGGTTGAAATAATTCTTAAGATGTTATGGGTTTTATATAGAATCAATAAGTATTATATTTTCTATTCAAACATTACATCGCCACCAATGAGGCAACGCGATCTTAATAATCTGACCGCATGGTTTCCTGCTTATACTCGACTGACTTGTATTCTATTCATCAGTTCGCCCGGTATTGTTTTACCGATGGCGCCCCAATCTCATTCCCTCGCATTGAGTTAAATTTACTATGTTAACAGTTACCATAAAAATCAGAAGTAATAATAACACATTACAGAATAAAGTGTCATGTAATAAAGACTTGGACTTGAGGCCTGCAAATTCGATAGGTCGTCTCCTTGGTTTTATTCCGAGAGTTTTAGAGGCTAATCAAACTCATGAGTCTAATCAGCCTGTAGCCATTCTCAGAGTGAACGCTCTACGACTTGAATGTAATATCACCACTGGAGCACACAACAACAATAATGAACTCCATACAATTCATGAACTTTTTCCTGTAGTGCCCCCTGGATATAAAATTATAGAAGTGCCATCGCAAGTTAGTTATTTACCAGTGTCTATAAAAACGATAATCGATTTGCAGCTCCGAATCATTGATCAAGACGGTAGCTTGGTGAACTTCAGGGGTGAAACAATTACCATCAGGCTACACATCAAGTCTACTTCATAATCATGGATACTGTATATAATCGTAAGATTGACTACTCCTAGAAAAGCCCTCAATCATGCTTCGCTTTAATCAGTTCGCCTGCTGGCTTCAAGGTGTTAACACCTCAGAATGTGCAGTTTGTAATATTTTATGTGTTTATTTGAGTAATTAATATTTTATTTCGTGAAATCAAATGAATTGAAATTTATATCATTTACCTTAATTATTTATTTGAATATTTCAAATGAGGTCACAATATTCTAGTTCGTTTTTGATACTTTTGTCCCAAATAAATTCTTATTTTGTATTTCTAATATTACGCAATTTGTATGTAAAAATTTATATTCCGTAAATGTTAACGAGAAAAACTATTATGTGAAATGAATAAATAAATATAATTTGCTGAATGCTTCTAAATACAATTAAATGGACAAATACAAAGAGTAATGAGTAAACGAATCGTGCATGGTAAAGGTCGGGAAGCAAGAGAGCAAGTTCAATTGACTAATGTGCGAAGTGATTCGCCAAATCACGAGCGCCACATTTGGAGCAATTAATAAATTCTTTCACTCGTCCAGATCAATTGACGCGGAACCTTCAACGGACAATTGAACTATTATAAGTTTCTCGAGAGTCTCGGTTTGGCCGTAAGAAAAAGTGGGAAAAACATTTTTGTCAAATGAAAACCTTATTCACCTGTTGTATACCATGGAGGAAAGCCTAAATACCAAACTCCCTCCGGTCTTTGAGGATTCCATCGCATACTATGAGATCCATGGACATCAGCCATATGCTACGACAGCACTGGATAATAGCGATGAAATTTAAATTACTGTACAAAATCAGGATCTCTGCATTTGACCAAGCAAAAGTTACTTGCACACTACTGATGAACTATTTAAATTGGACAACACCATCTCCACAACTATAAAATTTGTGAATAATGCCATTTGTCTTTTATTTCAAGAGATCCGCTATGAAATTAATGCTATTGAGGTCGATAAAGTCAAGAATGTGGGTATCACTACTCTCATGAAAAATCTCATCTCATCAACACTCAATCGAAGCATCTCAATGAGAAATGCTGGATTGCTGGGCATTCAAGAAAAAGCGATTTCAACTGATGGGAATGGTTGTTTTGATATTTCCGTCCCATTAAGTATGTTGCTGGGATTTGCTGAAGATTATCGAAAAATTATGGTCAATGTGAAAAATGAGCTGCATTTGATTAGGACTTGTCATGATAATAATGCTCTGATTCAAACCGCAAAAGAAGATGTGAAGATCAACTTTCGTAAAATTGAGTGGTTGATTCCATATGTCACACTGTCGGATACCAAGAAGATTGAGTTGCAGATCATGGGAATGATATGGATACCCAATGCTTCCAGCGACAACAAAATATGTGTGGACGGTGAAAACCGCGACGCAGCTTGAGAAACCACGTTATGTCATTCTGGGCTTCCCGATAGATCGAAAAAATGAAGATAAGAAAAGCGCTGGTAATTTTCATCGCTGTACCATCGCAGATGTCAAATTATTCCTAAATTCTCAATGTTATCCATATGGAAATTTACATGTAGATATAGCTAAGAATCAATATTCGATTCTTTATTATGATCAACAAATGAACAATTCATTATTAATTAGAGCACATTTTACAAATATTACACCACTGGTGGTAATTGATTGTTCTAAGCAAAATGAATCCCTGAAGTTTGGTCCAGTTGATGTTCGCCTAGAGTTTGAAAGTAAAATAAGCTTTTCACCGGAGATTGCTGCTTATTGTCTTATTTTGTACGATCCAGTGGTGTATTATAACTCTATAAGCAGAGGGATGAGGAAAGTAGTTTAAGGAGGGGGAGGGGTATAAATTCTCATGTCAGCAGCATCATTTCATCAGTCCCCATGGAGATACTTGTAGACAAACAAGGTTTTCAAACGCTCTTCAACGAGTTTATTGTGAAAGAATTCGCATACAGAGTTTTGCATTCTGGAGTTAGATATTCAGCAGTGAGGATTTTCAGCCCACCATATGCATGGTCCAGTTTACCAGGAAAGTATAGAAATGTGAATCTGTGGCTCGAGCATCATGATCACGGATTATCGTGAAATTTTGGGAATAGACCATACGATGAAGGTGAACAATTTGTGCAAGAGTGGAACCATATTGGAAAAATTTATGTCAAAGGTGAAAATAAAAAAGAGTGGTTGAAAAAAATCCCCGCACTTGTACTGACACCACTAGTAATTAATTTTGAGAAATGTTATGATGAATGTCCGCCACTCACTAAATTCAAAGAATTACCAGCTCATGCTTGTCCTTTCCATCGTTATACAGAAAACAAGGCATGTGCTGTACAAAATATAAAACTCGTCAAGAACTGGATGAACTGAATCAAAAAATTGTGCGATCGACCGATCGATCTATGGAAGTTTACTATGAATTGAAGAATTTAAATTTCATGGATTGTGAGGAAATTGCACATCTGCCACATTTACTTATAAGTTCCATAGCTGTATCCAATGTTGATCACGCTTGGGACAAGTTGACTGATGCTATGAAAGGTGATTCGTACATCAAAAGATGTAGGCGTTGTTTGAAACATTATCAAACCATCAAGGGTGATACTTTTGATGGACCACCCCTTATAAGAGATTGTGAAAAACGTAATAATTTTTAAGAGGAAAAAAAATGAAAAATGCTTTTCAATTTTAATATTTATCTGTGTACATCCTTATACTATTACATTAGTTATAATCATAAAAAACATTTTGTAAAGAAAAAATGTGGCGCGAACCACAGACGAATTGTTGTTTCGAAGTTTATTAACGCGTCTCGAATATTCTATCCGTCATATTCGAGACGGGCGTTATTCTGTCCTTGTCCCTCACGAGATTTATGCACGGTTCTCGAAACTTCCATACCAGAAGGTATTCAAACTCGCACGCTCCCCGACGAATAGCTCATTTGAATTCAGTCCGATTTATATATTCGATGTAAACACATCTCTCTACGGCAAATACAACGCCTTTATATTCCACAACCACGAGTTATTATGACAGTGGAGCGCCGCTCCAACGCGTTTCGATACGATGTCCCACCTTCAATGCCGAACGCCGAGCTTTGTGGTTCGCGCAGTTTGAAGGTCAATTACACCTCGCCGGGATTACTGATCAAATAATGAGATATTACTACGTCTCGTCACATCTCGATACCAAGGCCGCTGCTGAGGTGCAGGACATACTCCTAAACGTGTCCACCGAGACGCCCTACACACGCATCAAGGAGACGCTCGTCGAACGCCTCACGCTCTCCCGAGACGCGCGATTCCAGGAGCTTCTTGACCGAGAGCTATTAGGCGACAGGAAGCCATCGCAGGCGACAGGAAGCCATCACCTCAGGAGCCTCGACGATACGGTTTCCGATAACATTCTACGCACCAAGTGGCTCAGCCGACTGTTGATGACGACGCAGTCCATCCTCGCATCGCAAGCCGACATGGCCCTCAACAGGCTCGCAACCCTTGCCGACAAACTGCATGAGATTACATTTCCGGCAGCACAAATCAACGACGCCTAGGAGCCAATGCCCTCAGCCCTCGAGGCGCGCTTCGCTTGCATCGAAGCTTCGATCAGCGAGCTAGCATCTACCCTGAAGGGGAAAAGAATCGCCCGCCCTCGCTCTCACTCTCAACATCGCTCCCGCTCTCGAGCAACCCCGCCAGCACACGACAATAACAAGTGCTGATATCATCGAAAATTCGGCGACGGAGCTAAACGTTGCAAGCCGCCTTGCTCACTACCGGAAAATGCCCCGATGCATCGTTAGCGGCGGTTAACGTTCCCTCTTTCAAATCAAACCGCCTCTTCGTAACAGATCGCGCCACCAAAATGCGATATCTAGTGGATATTGGCGCTGATCTCTGCATATTCCCGAAGTCTCTCGCTCCTGGGGCAAAGAAACGAGTCTACTATACGCTTATTGCAGCAAACGTATCGATGATCAACATATACAGCTGCATAACGCTATCGCTCAATCTCAGCCTCAGAAGGGACTTCACATGGCGTTTCGTAGTGGCGAACACGACTAAACAAACTATCGGTGCTGAGTTTTGGGCGCATTTCGGCATTTTACCTGATCTGAAGAACGGCTGCCTTATCAACTCAACAACTGGATTAACGACCCCATGTAAAGTGTCACTATCGAGTATTGTTTTAGGAATCAGGGTTACGCCTGTTGACTCCTCATGGTCGAACCTCCTCGCAGCGTTTCCCAACCTGACGAAATCCGAAGGAATCTGCCTGCCAGCCGAACACACGACGCTGCACCATATTGCCACCACACCTGGATCTTCCCTATGCAGCAAGGCGCGATGGCTCGCCTCCAACAAACTCAAAATCGCCAAGGCGGAGTTCGACAAAATGATGCAACTGGGAATCACTCAACGTTCGAAGAGCCCCTGGTCACCTCCGCTCCACCTGGTACCGAAAAAGTCGGGCGAATGGTGACCTTGCGGGGATTACCGACAATTGAACGCACGAATAATACCGGATCGATATCCTGTTTGCGTTCTGGAAGACTTTACCGCAAATCTCGCTGGGAAAACAGTCTTCTCAACTATCGACCTCGTACACGCCTTCAATCAAATACCAGTGGCCAGGGACGACGTAAACAAAACGGCTATCATCACACCGTTCGGCCTATTTAAATTTCCGTTCATGACATTCGGACTTCGAAATGCCGCCCAGGCATTTCAAAGGTTTATCAACGAGGTGACACTGGGTCTAGACGACTTTGTGTTCCCGTACATTGAAGACATCCTCATCGCTTCTAGGGACATCGAGGAACATCGTACACACCTTCGTACGCTTTTCGAAGGACTTTCAAAATACGATGTCGTAATCAACACCGCCAAGTGTCGTTTCGGTCAACCGGAGGTAGACTTCCTCGGACATCGCATCTCGGCACAGGGAATTTTACCGATTCCAATGAAAATGGAGGCGATAGTTAACTTCCCTCGCCCAACCACGATCCGGAAACTGTGTGAGTTCCTAAGTATAATTAACTTTTATCGGAAGTTCCTTAACGAAGCTACAATGTTTCAGGCCTCTCTGCACGAGTACACTCAGGGTGCATCAGTCAAAGGCTCTCACCCTGTCACCTGGACCCCGGAAGGCGATGCCGCTTTTGCCGCCTGCAAGGAGGAGTTGCGAAAAGCAACGTTACTGGTCTACCCGGATACGAAACTCCCGTGGGCCATCTTCACCTACGTTTCCGAGTACGCTATCGGAGCGTTCTTCCAACAACGACGAGGACAGCACTGGAAACTGCTGGCTTTCTTCAGCCAGAAACTACAACCTGCGCTGAGGAAACACGGCCCCTATGACCCAGAGCTTCATGCTATCTACGCTGTCGTGCGAAAGTTCCGGTACATTTTTGAGGCAAGGCACGTCACGATCGTCACTGATCATATTAATTTAAAAAAGCGCTTTGTGCTTGTAGCTGGCAAGCATGAGCTTGAAAGCTCAAAATAATGAATGCATCGAATGTCCCCCTCGAAACCCTACAATTTTTGTATCGAACATTTTTTTGTTACTTGCCCGCCTTAGGAGATATTCCGCCGCATTTTTTAAGATGGGACACCCTGTATATTCGATGTAAACACATCTCCCTGCAATAAATACAATGCCTCTATATTGCACAACCAGGAGTTATTATTGTGTGTCTATACACCTAACCGCTACAAAAAAAATCATCAATAAGTAAATAAATTTAAAAAAAATTGAATTATTGTTCAATTTATTTGTAATTTAAGCTCCAGTGTCATCTCCTTTCTCACCTGCATGGAATTTAATGTCGTTGTATTCACCACCCAAGTACTTCAACTTTGGTGAGCCCCTCTTGATTTCTTTCACCGAACCTTCGAATTGTTGGGGATTTTCAATGAAAAACTTTGACATCCTTCGATTTAGAAAAACTACGTAAGCATTATTCAAATGCACGAACACACTCATTCCATGCTTCGTCTTGACTTTGAAAGTTCAGTAATGGTGGGCATATTCTAGGTGAAGGTTTTTCAAGTCGACAAACAAAAAGTCGCAGATGTAACTTGTACACGATCGGTTGATACACGCATTGGAATTTACAATAATGATACGCTCACGCGCAGATTGCACATAAACATATGCACGAACATATAAAAGACTTCGTCCACGACTGAGGGAGTAGATTACTCGCTGGCGTAGGAAGTGAGATCTGCAAAGGGTACCGCATGTGAAATTTTACATTTTCAGCACAAGAAATCTACAAAACATGGGATTATTTTTTCGGTAAATGATTCACTAGTAATCAATATGCAATCGTATGTAGAAAATATGCTGTGGAATTACCATTGTATATCCAACCTAGGCATGCCAATTCACACGGGACGAATATTAACTATTGAAATGTGACCGTGAACAAATGAATGATTCCTGACACCCACCAGGTAAGTGAAATCGCATAATTCACGTGTTCACTAATATATACTGTTGAGATGAATCAATCATAGTTTTTACTCCGTTTGGAATGAGAATTACTGATATCTCATCAGTGCCGATTCTGCACACACATACCCGAAACTAGTAAGCAATATGAGCTCAACGAGACCGTTTGCTTACAGAGATTGACTCAAGGAGTCATATTTCACTATGCCATGGATCAGAGTATGAATCATACTCTCTGAAGCCAACAGAAATGATATCCCATAATAGAGCGAAGACGTCACAGCTCAACATATTAGTGGAATAGAAGAACTGGTTCGCCAATATTTCGATAAACAATTGACCCAATTATTGGTCATTTGATAAAAATATACACATCTAAAACGCATAATGTCAGTATTGTCTACGAAACGCGACCAGAGGTGCACAAGTGTTAACTATACATTTTTTGAAACACCATTAGTGCATGCATGAGAATATTCGACACATGAATTTTCAAATATATCCAAATCGATATCGCGCTGAGATATTGCTCAATATTCCGTTTCTGAATAATCTCTCGTCCTTCACATCGAATTTGTTGGAATTAAGTTTCTACACAGGAGTTCCAATTTGAGTAGAACACGACACTAGCCCGAATTTACAGACAACTTTGGCATTTGTGCTTTTATTACACGAGTTTATTTGTATTCGGCGTCTTTGTGTACATTGATATAATCCTATGCCAAAGTTGATCAATGTTCTACACCAACCGTAATGCGTGTACAACATCCAACGCATAATCCTTATGTTAGTTCTAATTTCCTTCGTGTACAATCATCAACTTCTAATTTAATAATTCCAGGCGCATTCAAAGCATACGACTTTCTCATTTTTTCATGTTTGATGTTACTATGAATACTCCATTAATTTATAGTAACATGAAGATTTTTTGCGCGATTTCTAATGAAAAATAAATACATTTTCCTGCGTGGTTATTACAGAAAATTCCATAGACAATATTTTATGAAGGATGATCGATAGTTTCCGATTCATTTATGCAATTTATTTCCTCGTGACATTCTTTCTTCAAAAGGTTGGGACTCGAATTTTCCAAGTTCTTTGTCTCTGCAGTTTTTTTCTTGGGTAACATAAAATACAAGAGGAAAAAACTTAGAAACTATGTTCCCAGAAATGCCCACGCAAATAGCCAGGTTATCCACAACAAGTAGAGTACTTGTAACCGTTGAGTAGTTAGCAACTTCCTATCGTAAAGCATGGAAGATGTCCATCTTTGTCTTTTTCAATTAGTACATAGACAATTCTAGCTATTCGACATTCGAAAATTTTTGTTCAATTGATTCTGTTGATATTATCTCTATGTACAGGAATAATGTCAACGGAGTAAATTGTTCAGAAATTTCAGATTTTTCATATCATCAAAAGAGTCATGCATGATTTAATTATTTCATTCATTCATTATACATTATTCATTATTTATTATTTTATTTTCCCATGTATACCTTCTCGGGGTTTTACACTTTGTTCCCCACTCCTTACAATGCTAATAGCAAAGATAAGAGACAAAAATTAGGTTAGTACATCCAGATTCCCCTCCCCTACCATACTGGCACTCTCTGCTATTCCGCGTGAAGAGTCCAGCCTCAAGGTTCCAAGGTTCACTGGTGCATTGAAGAAGTCTAGACGAAGAAGAAGATGCCCTATGATGAGTTGCCCCAGGGTGGCCTATTTCCGTCCATTCTCCAGGGTCTCGAGAAAGAAGAAGACGGAGGAGCGTCCACAACCAACTCTACAACAGAAACGAGCCCCAGTCCCCTCTCCATAGACCAGGGAGCTGCTACAGTGTAGACAGGGAATGCAACGGCCGTTACCCCTCCAGATAGCTGTTCCACACGAAGGTACCACCTCCGCAATTTCGCAACATACTCGTCAGCTTGGTTACACCCGTTCCCAAAATTTCAATTCAGCTAGACACTTCGATCTTGCGATCCTCATACACAGGGTCAGTCTTTCCCCAAGCAATCTTGGCGACCCCAGCCCGCTGTGGGCTGCTGCAACCAAACCGCCAATGCGCTTTTAGTATCAGCCTTGCTACCATCGCCAATCCCCTTACCCCAGCACCAAGCATTCATGATCAGCAACCTCCCGTTGTACTTAACTTATTACAGACCCCAATCTGTTTCGTCTCTCTCACCATGCAGTTCCTTCTAGAGTACAGACGTAGCCTCATCTCCACGAGGCCCATCCCCCGATTCTCAGCATTTAACCTCTCTTCCATGTCCATCCGAGGTGCTTGCCGCCAGTCTATTTGCCCTCCTGACTCCACTCGTCGCAGTTCGTTGACGTCACCTAACTTCGACGCCCGCCCTTCCTAAAACGAATGTAAGAAAAAATAGCCGAAGGAAAAAATAGCCGATGGGTAACACACGTTGGGTGTGGGAACCGACAAAATGACCGGTTATTGTCGGTCATTTTTGGCACTTACCTCCCAAAACAGTTGAAAAACCCTCCAAATATCACAGTTTCACCCCCAATTCATCACTCCCTTCAAAATTTTCCTCTTGAAGAATCCCCCCAATTACTTTTTCTCCAACTTTTCCCCAAAAATTTATGATTCATCCCTTAAAAGCTCAAGACACGACCCCCCAACGATCCAGCTCATGTGAGCGCCACCACCCGACCATATTATTCACTATTATTCATTATTTATTGTTCTTCTTTCTAATTCCCAATGAAATCATAATTATTGATTATTCGCTCTTCTTCCATGACTAGGATTGTATTGATAACGTCGTCTCTTGGCACGACGATTATCAGATCTATTTTTAATTTCTTCATCGCTTGAAGATAATACAGTTCCATAAAATTGAACCCCATCGCTACCATCTTTATCAAGCTCATGTCCTCCTAAATAGAATATGTCATTGAGAATTTTTACCAAGATTTGTTATCGTAGAATTGATAAAAAGGGAGGTGGAACTGAAATATTGGAGCTATAATGTATACAAACGTCCTGTAGGATTCCG